AGAGAGAAAGATAGTGTTTGTATGTATAGCCTATGTGTGAAATTGGAATATTAGTGTGTGTATTGTAAGTGAACTCTTTGAGAAAAAAAAATCCGCAGTGTAAAACTATATAAACCAAGCACCAGAATAACCAGAAATGTTCACAAACAAACAGACCCCCCCCCCCTTCCCCCAATAAAAATCCCCTCGCACCACAGCTAGCTCACATACATTTTGTACACCTAAACATGTAAATGGCCAGCAAAACTGAAGTCCACGCGCATGCGTAATACATATACTAGGTACTGCAGCTCAGCCACAGTGCTGTGAACTCAGCTCGTGAATATTCATGACGCGTATACCTCTGAACCAATAAGGAGGCAGGATTTTACTCTCATAGGTAAACCTGTTTGGGAAAAAAAAATTCGCCCCCCGGCCCCCACCTCCCAAATGTGGGATGCTAACTTTTAGCGTGCTCGGTCAGTCAGACCGCAGCGCGCGCGTTAATGAGGCTGAAAGCTGATTTTTATTCAGCGATATCTGGCGATCACATAACATTTACGCCTGCTGAATTTCCATGCGCTTTTCAGTGAGATTTGTAGGGGTGTACATGTAGCTGCGTTTTTGGTCGTTAACTTCATTCAACATGGCAGCATGCAACGGAAAGTCACTCTCGAGATTTTCAGCATCAGTTTGATATGTAATTTGCCATATTTCGCAATTTGTAAACAATAATTTTCACAACTTTTATTGACGCTATTTTTGTAACATTTCAACTGCTGTTTTGACCCGGGAATTTCACTTTTGGTTCCTGACTTTGGGACAAAATAAATTTGTCCACTTTGAGATTCGTTCGAAAGATGAAAAGTCACTGATCAAAAATATGTCAAAACCTAATTGACGCAAAATCATGTTCTTTTTATAATCATAGTAATTAAGACCCTAAAAACCCGGAAATTACCAATTTGTTCTTTTTATGATAGCGCGAAATTGTGTGATTTCATACTCGTGTACGCTCGCCGTCTGAGCAATGGCAATGCATAACTGATTATTAAACTCCAGGGAGCTCCGCCGCGCCATCGACTAGCCGAAATTTTTTTAGAAAAATGATTAAAAAAGAAATACAGTAGAAAAGAAACATCTACATGGCATGTGAGGTATTTGATCTAGGGTCCTTAGATTGTTGTCAAGACGGCTTACGCGCACGTGCATTACAGGCGCACGCCACAACGCCTGGTTACCAAGATGTGGTATTCAGAATGTTAATAAACCAAAGTGAAACATATGTGACGTAGTTGACGTAGTTGACCAATCAGAACTCTCTATTATCACATCGGCAAAATTTACTACTTTTTTTAATTATTCATGAACATGAGCGTGATCTTTTTTGGTTCCTGACTTTGGGACAGCGTAAAATATAATAATTTTGATATCATTGTAAAGAAAAATATTTATGCTTTATGCTGATTATAACATCTTCTTGACGCAAGAATGATTTCTATGTGAAAATTAGCCCTACTCTTTAGATAGATTTATCGTCGAAAAACCCCATTTTCAAGGCGAAATATCTGTTTCCAAAATATATCTAACATGATTGTCATATAAGTATATAGAGAGTGCAACTTCTTATCTTTAAAATAAGACCCATTTCATGAGAAATGAACAATTATAAAGGCAAAAACTGCCGATCGGGAAGACCGTCTGCACTACTCATTACGTATGCGAGACACGTAAATTCTTGCATACGTGCTGAATAAAATAGAGGGTTTTCGCACCGGCTGCGGTCTGACTGCGGTATCGCATTGCTTTACAGTTCCAAGCGCGTCATCAACACAGCTCAGAGACTCGGCTCAGACTAGAGGTCAACAACATTTATATCGTGAAGTCGTCCGTCACATGTGGAAAGGAAGCAAAACTCTATTGCTCTGGTAAGATATTTCCTAATTTTAGGTTATCTTTACCTCCGATTTGGGCTTAACTTTAGAATACCCCACCCAAACGTAGTATGTCCGTTGGTCGCCAACGCGCCAACGTACCAATTTAGTGTAGTCCCTTCCTTTCGTATTCGTGACCAGTTTCTGAATTTGCCATCACATCAACTCGAGAATGGAAATATGGTTATTTGTTATGTTTTAACTCCTTCCTATTACCTCTTACACATCAAAGTATTTTATTTATAGTTTGTTAAAGATGTTCTCACCTTAGTTGTAATGTTTTACCCTTGATATTGCTTGAAAATCGTCAGAAATCAATGTAACTACTGTCGAAAAGTGGCCTAAAAGTAAAGTGGAAAAAAAAAATCGGGAATTTATGGTGTCCTTTACATGGCAAACAAAGAAAGGAAATAAGGTGCGTTGGCGCGTTGGCACGTTGGCCCCCCGTCCCTCATTGCCAAACGAAAATAATATAGGAAATAGGTAGCCTAAAAGTAAAAGTAAAGGGGGAAGAAATTCAGTTCCCCCAACCCCCCCCCCCCCCTGCTCTCGCGCGAAGCGCGCAAGCTTTGACCTTTCATTTAATTATTAGAGAAAGAAGACGAATCGTTGTACACTTCTCGACTCTTAAGAGTCTTATATCTGAAGTCAGGTTTCCCCTAGCTCCCGCGCATGCAGCGTGGAAGCTTTGGTGTTTCATTAATCGGTCCCCCCCCCTCCCCCCGCGCAAAGCGCGGAAGGTTTTAGCTTTCATTAATTATTAGAGAAAGAAGACGATTTGTTAAAGGTACTATGTCCCTTTTGCAGCCAACCTCAAATTCTTTAGAACTTTGCAGGAATTATGAATATGTCATGTATGTCCTGTGAAATTTAAACGTTAGCAGTGTCCTCATATTCAAATTATGCATGGAAACCCGTTTACTTGCTAGACTTCACTGTCAGACACTATTGAGTGACTGACTGGCTTTTTTCTTCTTTGGTAATAACATACATGAAAAGAGTTGTAAAGGGTACATGAGCATTTGCCTACATCAATAACCCACTTCTTGTGATGGCCAAGATTAAACTGATTGAATCTTTGCGCAGCATAAAATGTATGACCATTCGGTACAATTGTCTGAAAATCAAGACTATTACTTTTGGGCTCTATAGCCCTAAAGTCGATTTGATAACTAATAGTCGTTATTTTCCCACTTGAAGACATTTTCAAGCCCCACCTTTTTTAGGGAAGTTCTGATTAGTATTATCTTTCATCAAATGCAGTTGGAATTTAACAAGCAACTCGACATCGGGCCAACGTTGGGCCAATGTATCTCGAGGCATCGGGCCAACATCAAGTTACGACGTTGGCCCAAAGTCAAAATGTCCGCCAGCCCAATGTTGACCCGACGTCGGGAGATTACGTTGGGCCAACATCAGATTCTGACATTGGGTCGACATCAAAATTGAAACGTTGGCCCGATGTAAAAATGTCCAGCTACCCAATGTTGGTCCAATGTCATTTTCCCGACGTCGGCCTAACGTAATTTGTCTGATGTTGGCCCAATATTAGAATAACCGCAAACCCGATGTTGGCCCAATGTCATTTTCCCGACGTCGGGCCAACATTATAATTCTGACGTTGGCCCAATGCTAATATGTCCGCCAGCCCAATATTGGCCCAATGTCATTTTCCCGACGTCGGGCCAACATTATAATTCTGATGTTGGCGCAATGTTAATATGTCCGCCAGCCCAATATTGTCCCAATGTCATTTTCCCGACGTCGGGCCAACATCATAATGCTGACGTTGGCCCGATGTGAATATGTCTGCCAGCCCAATATTGGCCCAATGTCATATTTCCAACGTCGGCCTAACATAATTTTTCTGACGTTGGCCCAATATTAAAATAACCGCCAACCCAATGTTGTCCCAATGTCATTTCCTAGACGTCGGGCCAACATCATAATGCTGACGTTGGCCCGATGTGAATATGTCTGCCAGCCCAATATTGGCCCAATGTCATTTTTCCAACGTCGGCCTAACATTATTTTGTTGACGTTGGCCCAATATTAAAATAACCGCCAACCCAATGTTGTCCCAATGTCATTTTCTAGACGTCGGGCCAACATCATAATGCTGACGTTGGCCCGATGTGAATATGTCTGCCAGCCCAATATTGGCCCAATGTCATTTTTCCAACGTCGGCCTAACATAATTTTTCTGACGTTGGCCCAATATTAAAATAACCGCCAACCCAATGTTGTCCCAATGTCATTTCTTAGACGTCGGGCCAACATCATAATGCTGACGTTGGCCCGATGTGAATATGTCTGCCAGCCCAATATTGGCCCAATGTCATTTTTCCAACGTCGGCCTAACATAATTTTTCTGACGTTGGCCCAATATTAAAATAACCGCCAGCCCAATATTGGCCCAATGTCATTTTTCCAACGTCGGCCTAACATAATTTTTCTGACGTTGGCCCAATATTAAAAAAACGCCAACCCAATGTTGTCCCAATGTCATTTTCCCGACGTCGGGCCAACATCATAATTCTGACGTTGGCCCAGTGTTAAAATATCCGCGAATCAAATGGTGGCCCAATATCATAGTTTCCGATGTTGGGCTAACAAAAATTATCTGACGTTGGCCCAATGTTTAAATGACCGCCGACCTAATGTTGGCCCGATGTCATTTTTCCGATGTCGCGCCAAAATGAAATTCTGAATGTGAAAACAACATTTCCTATACTGGGCCAACATTATTTGCACGTTGGCCGTCGTTCTAGTTGACTAATTGAAATAAGTAAACATGAAGAGGATCAATTTGCAAGTAGCCTTTGCATGCACAGAACAATGGACACTTGCACTATTATAAGGTAAAGTGTCTTGTGTGACATAAAGCCTAGTAAGAAAACATGAATCAATTTCCCTGAAGTTAAGTTAAACTTCAAAGTCACGTGTATAATTTGTAACATGCAGGGAAGGAATTGGTCCTCTTAATGGAAAACTGTGAGATATTACATGCGTGTACTGTACAATGAAAGAATTGTTAAATTAAATGATTCAAGTTTTTGATAAATATCAAACAAGCACAAATTTCACTCTACTTTATCCTTTGTTTAATCTCTGTTATGAAGCAGCGTTACAGTTGAATACAAAGTACATTATGTGTAATTAAGACATACTAAAAAGAATGTGGTACCTGAAACAAAAACCGAATATCGAACAAAAACAACGCAATACGTCAACACTCCTGTCTACGTATAAATGTTTTAACCCCTTCAGAAGCTGTACTAAATACATGTACATGAAAATTATGGACATCTTGGTACATGGATTCATGATCGTTTTTGTTTACACTAAATCCAATAAATAAATGTAATACATGTTCAAGCTGTTTCAAGAATAGCATTGAAGTATAATTTAGGTGTAAGTTTTGTTTCTTTTTTAATGTAGGTCTACACTGTACATGTATCAATCACTGAAACAAGTATGTCGTGCAGTCGATTCTTACTGGCGAGCAAAGCCCCAGGCATCTACTCTTCATATTTTAATCAATGTCATCCTGAATGAGATTCCATGCTGAATTTATTGGCATGACATTCGTCACAAAATAAAGATGCCTACAGCATTATGGGTTCAAAGATCCAATTTTATGTGAAGAGATAAATGGTCTTAAGAAAATACTTTGTTTCGCCTAAGGAATTAGATGTTATCTTACATAATATGTGGCAAAGTGGTGTGTTAATCGTATTTTCAATTTGATGTACCATTTTGTTTAATGGATTCTCCACCAACAAAAGATTATACATGTAGTTTAGTATTACACAGTTCAAGTCAAAATTGCAGGAGAGACGTTTCAATGTAATTTGCACTGATTCTTGTGTGATACTACATGAAAGAGAGAAAAACAAATCTCGATAAAAAAATTACAATTCCCAAAATTTCTTTAAATTTCACTCATAAACAACTGCATTGTAGTTGAGCCCTTCTTCAATCTATCATCAAGTACATCTATTTGTCAAATAAAATTCAATAGGATTAGTTCCCCTTTAAGCATGTGCATTATGTTAATCTACTGGTACAAATACTTGTTGAGACCTCATTTTACAGGGTTACAAACTTACTATACATAGTATATCAGTAAATCCTGCATAACTTTGTGTTTATAGTTGGGATGAAGCAATAAATGTATTCGTTGACAATATGGGACATGCCAGGCCCGTACAACACGAAATAAAATCAACAACTAAATTATTCATACCCTCGGCAATTTTATTTTTACTTTTAAGTATTTGAATAATTTGATTTGTGGTGATTTAAGACTCTTGAGAATGTGGCATATTAAAGCTTGCATCTAACAGTATTCAGCAAATATCCGAATTCACCCAGTCCACCTTTTATTCTTGAGTTACGAAAAAAAAAAAAAAAAAACATCAAATGTATACAAGGGGCGTGAATAATTGGCTATTAACTGTATGTCGTACGGGACAAGGTTGACGTTGTTAAAATAAAAGAAGAATGACGTAAATGCCAACAAATTTGAGAGAATCCATATTTACAAAAAGTGTAGACCTCCAAACAAAACCTTGGCAAAAACTATTCCTTCTCATGTCGTACAGGACAATGTGGCGGAAATGGCCTGGCCAATTATTGGCGGTGAAGTCCGCAGGCAACTACGCAATTAAGACCTTGGATGTATCGTACAATGTATTTGGAACTTAGAACATGCACTAGATAACACACTGTTTGGCAATTTTGTGTGCAACAACGTACATATGTGACAAGTATCACATTTCAACTATTTCGTCTTAAAAATGAAAGTCCAAAGTCTCCATAGTACGACACTTACCTAATTTAGGTGGTCTAAGCATTAAAGTAAAATATTATCCCCTTAGTAGCCAACTAAACTCAAAGTTGTATTATTACAATTTTGTCACGTTAAACATGTATAAAGCAAACTGATGTATATAGAGGGGGAAAGGGAAAATGTTGAATGGTTCCTCACAGTGTATGCAAACGTATTCATAAGTAGTTCTCTCATTTTTAACATAAATAAGCATGCATTCCATAAGCTTTGTCCAATCATATCTGCTGGATGACCAAAAGGATGAAACTGTCTCATATTCATAAAACCGATTGATAGTTGATGAGCAGTATCTTATAACTCTAACTGCTGGGGCCAAAGAAAAAAAAGTTCAGTAGATTTTTTCCTCCTCCAGCCAGCAGAGTTTAAAAAGAGTTCACGAGTCAAGAGGAGGGGGGGGGGGGGTGAGAGTGGTATCACGAGTGTATCAGTCAATCACTGTCCTCTTCATCTGCACCCACGTCGCTTTCGTTGTTTGGGTCGTTGCCTTCCTCAATCTCAATTAATGCAGCTGCTGCAAAAATTAAAAGCGATGGAATATTGGTATAGAATGAAAGTAAAACATTAAAAAGGCAACATAAAACAAGATGAATACGACTGCGCCTTTAATTCCTCCGCCTGATCGGTTTGAAATGCTGTATAACGCTTTTCTAAATTATATAAATCATTGCAAACATGTTTTTATACATTCCCTGTATGGGAAAAAATGTAGACCGCCATCAATAAACTTTTTGTACAGAGGAGCTCACTGATGACAACTTCAAAAATCAACATCTTTCTTGTTTTTAATCGGAAATCGCTCAAACTTTCATTTATTTGTTTCTCTAACTATTCTGCTTTCATTATTACCAACTTAATATCGGGCGGCAATTCCAATTCAAACCAAAAATTAGATTAAATTTTGAATAACTTCAACTTTTAAAAAGATTGCACATACATATATATATATATCTAAATGTAGATGATTAGTCTGTTTTCCTGGAATGTTCCTTTTTGATCATTTGCGGTATGGTTGTACATTCAAACGGGTGTTGCCTTGAAATTATACTAAAATAACGAATTTCTATAGCGGTACTAATTCATAGGTCTGTATTCAACAGAGAAGACTACATTTCAGATGTCGAAAAATATTCTCAAATAACATTTATAGTTTGGGGTCATTTATACCAAAGCTAACTACGAACTGGCCTGTTAGAAAATGTTACTTGCACATTAGTGAAATGGTTACCTTTCTTTTTTTCTTCTCTCTTTCGGCGTCCTCCAGACCTGTCACTGCTGTATCTCAGCCACTTCTTTATAAGATCTTCAGTAGAAGTATTTGGGGCAGATTCCCATGATCTTCTAGTGGCACCTTAAAAAGAGAGATTTCTTTGTCTTAATCTGAAAATACTTCATCACACAAGCGTTTTGGTCATTTATGGGTTAAGCCAATCAATAATTATATTCAATACTAGCCTGACTCAGTGTTTCGCACCTCGGTCGTGATCTTAGAAACTATTCAAAATAAATTGTGGAAATCGATAACGGAAAAGCTTCTGATGATTTACTGCGGAGGGATCGTACCATTCTCTGTTTTTTAACGAAGTGACTGCCCTGTTTTTGCATAGCTAGTGAGACAGATATACAGTGGCGTAGCGAAGACTCGGTCATTGGTGGGAGGTGGGGGGGGGGGCACCATACGTAAGTCTATTAGATTAACTTTTTTCAACCAATCTTTAGTTACTGCACTCTTTTAGGAATTAAACAGTTTCTTGTCACCCTCATCCAAAATACATCAATGAGGATTTGTTTTCCATCCCTATTAAATGTAGACGTACGAGCCCATTTCTGTGTGAGGAAATAAAATGATTGTTGATATAAAACAAAATACAACAAATATGGTGAGGCTCCTCTTACCCCCCCCCCCCCGTGCCCCCTGCCCCCCCCCCCCCCATCTTTCTAGCTACACCACTGCAGATAGACTACAAAGGATAAATAGCGTTTGACTTGTTTTGGTACCTATTCATTGCACTTGGACATGAAAGAAGAGTAAAGAGAGAGGAGGGCAACTGAATACAAATTTCTACATACAAAAAGGTAATTGGAAAAGAAAGAACAGTGTAAATGAGGTAATAAGAAAACTATTAAATGATGTTCATATGCTGATCCTTTATGGTTGAGAATATGTGAAAATATGTTTTTAAAGAAATGAGAAGAAAACCAACAAAATTTGAGTAAAATGAAATACAGAGAAAGATGGATATAAGAGACAGTGCCAAGGTTATGACTGACTATTTACAAGCAACCCTTGTAGCATATAAAGCAATATGGCAAAAGGGTACTAAAAACAGTTTTTTAGAATGTAATTTCCCTTTTCATTGCATTAACTTTGAACTCTCAAGGGGCCGCATAACATTGTTTCGTGGGACATATTTAACCAGGGCCCCAAAATTAACAGTTCAGACTCAAGCTTACGCATTTTGACCAACATTTTGAAGAGACATTGCACGCGCCTGAGAAGGGGAGATGAACGAGAAGAAGAAGAAGAAGAATAAGCAGAAGAAGAAGGAGAAGAGAGAGAAAAAGAGCGGGGAGAAAAGGAAGGATAATAAATGGGAATAGATTCTAGAAAGAAAAAAATTCATTGCGATTGATCCACAAAAAAAGAAAATCCATCCAAACGTATAACTGATAATTGTGTGACTCAACATCAAGGCCCTAAAAGTGACCGAATACTTCACATTAATTTATTTTTAGTGGGTCGCTATCTTACATTCAAATTATCTCTGATGAAACCGTTTTGGGTTTTGTGTTCCATGTGGCACAGTGCCACAGGAAACACAACACCGAAATACGCATACAGTACAAATTAATTCATAACACTGAAAACAACAAAAACATACTCGTTAAAAAAGAAATATAAAAGTTCTATTTCCAGATTCTTCAAATAAAAGGAGGAGGAAATTTTAGCCTTTCTGAAAATGTTATAGCCTGGAATTTAAACAGTTTCCAAAAAGGATATCATTAAGGTTTCCAACTTTTGTAATAAGTTCATTTGTATGAAAGCGGATAAATAAGAAAACCGATCAATGGCAAATGTTTGAAATAAATCCGACCAATATTACGAAAGTTATGAGTGTTTGATATATTGGATCAGTATATCTACAAAGTATGCGAAACCCAAATGATTGTGATTGCAATAGTAATAACTCTCCCGTTTGTGGGGTAACAAAATATTGTATTTCTTATTACTTTTTTCTCCTAAGCGCCTTCTCCCTTCGGGCACTGATAAAATGTATTGTGGAAAGCATATTAATAAAGATTTTCGAAAAAAGAGAAGACACTCTCAAGTCTTAGATTTTAAAAACTTGACATTTTAGTAAGTTTGTGTATTGGTTGGAACACATTGGGAAAACTACCCGGCACTTCCTAATAGCGACACTACCGATTAACAATATGAAGTGCCGAAATGTTTATTGATTACAGCTTTGGAAAATGTATACTTTCCGTATTCTTGTCCGATTTAATGAATCTTTCACCAATCTGCTTATCTGTTTTCTGCTTTCTTTTAGACTAGTTGTCTGTTAAGGTGGAATTTCCCTTTAAAACTCACCAATTAGGGCGCACTGCTAAAGGCGAAAAGGCGAATTGTTGAAACTCGCCTAGGCGCCTTGAGAGGTCGACTTTTTAGAGAAGACGCGAAGGGATCGAACTCGCCTTCTTGCTTCTCGGGGGTGTATGGAAAGCTGGTTTTTCATTCCTTGTATTTTGATTTTTTTTGGTGTTAATATAATATATAAGTATAATAGGCTTAAGTACTGTTCATTTCAATCAAAATGAAGGAAAGAGTAAGTATCTTTAGCTATAGATTTGTAAAATAAATAGATTACATATCAAGAGGACATATTTCTTATAACAAAAAGTAAAATACTTACGCAATATAACATCTGCAATGTCCATTTTGCAAATGCCGACTTTTTGTCCCATCCCTTTCCAATTCAAATTGGTAGCCAGTTCGTCTTCAAGCATCGCTTTCAGTATCCTAGCAACTACTTCTTTTTCTGTCGTTCCACCGAGCGTACCAAGAGATTTAATCTGTGATTTAAGCAGTGATAGTTAATTAAGAGTAACGACTCGAGAGCATGTATGGTACGTAGGCTACATCTTAGTTTTAATTGATAAAATGTGGCACACTTATGGTAAGGGGCGGATCTACGGGGGGGGGGGGGGGGGGGGGGTAGGGGGTTTAACTCAATCCCCCCCCCCCCCCCGGGCTGCGTAGTGAAAATGTGATGTGCATAGAAAAACGCCGTCATGTGTCCAGACCCGCACAGTATTAGTAGATGCCAGGAAAACATCACTTACGGGGGGGGGGGGGGGTCCAACAATAGCAACAACACAAAAATCGCTCAGCGAAATATCGGCCGGCGCGATTTTCTATTTTTCGGGGGCAAAAAAAAAGGAAAAAAAGTGCACACTACCCCCCCCCCCCTCCCGCTTATTCACCGGCTGGTTGTTTCGCCGCTAAATATTTTCTCACGAATTGTGCCCCCTCTTTGGCCGTCCTCCCTGTCGCCGGCTAGATCCGCCCCTGAGGTCAACCGCAACCCTACCCCCCCCCCCCTTTGCAAAAAGCTAGATCCGCCCCTGATGTTGCACTTTGCAAAACTATTCCTTAACCTGCATAGCTAGCACAACTCGATTGTAATTGATTTAAACACAATAGCCGCAAATAAATAAACCTATGTAATTTCTCGCCAGTTGATCTACAAATAAACACTATGTAAAATTGCTTCTATATAGGTCAGCATCAACATAACATATCGACATTTAGTCCAACTCGGTGTCATCATCTTTGCATCATCATTACATCATCTTATCTACTTATATTTATATAGTAAACTGTAATAACAAAAGTGATTTGACCTGATAAGCTTACAAGTTTCTTTTTGAATGGCTTCGCCTTCAGCTGCTCATTCAGCTGCTCCAGCTCAGTGATATTGGAGACTGGCAGGTGAGCCTCCTCTCCCATGTCCATGGTGTCTGCCTCAACACTCTGGCCTCGAGTATTGAGCAGACTTTGCATCATGGTGGCATTCTGCCGACCCTGTTGCTTGATCTCGTTCAGCAATCGGATGACACCTGCACAGAGCAACATATAGAAGCAACGGTTAAATTAAATGAGATATCACATACCGGTAGTGGCGATAAGCAAAGAGAATTTTTAAGTAGATTAAATTGAATATATTAAATATATTACAGGTATAAATACATACAAACAATTAAAGTTGGTAGAATCCGCTAAAAAAAAAAGTCACTGGACATAGGCCCTCATCATAGATGATTGCATAAGGCGGGAAATTGGTTATTTTGGAACAGAAAGGACAGTCGCTAAAAACGAGGTACATAATAAGGCACTGCTGGAAAAGGAATTCCTATGAGGATAGTGTACATGAATATGGTACTTACTGTGCTCGAACTGTTGGACACTTATCTGTGGAGGAGCAGGATTAATCGCGTTACTCGTTGTAGGCGTGTCTGGACCAGGTGTGCGGGAAATTGTAGGCGTGTCTAGACCAGGTGCGCGGGAAGTTGTAGGCGTCTCTGGACCAGATGTGCGGGAAGTTGTGGGCGTTGAATGCGTAGACGACCGGGAGCTAGTGTTTCCTGGAAAGGCAGGGGGTGAGGGCCGGGGTGAGGTTAGCTTTTTCGCCCTCTTGACGACAAGTTCGGGTTCGTCATCGCTGCTTTCTCGAAAGCGTCCAGGGCGTCTGTAATATATAATAACAGTTACATAAGCCTAATAATAAAACTATTAGTAATGATAACGCCACAGGCGCCAAATCTACTTGAAATCAAATCTGCATTGTATACCTTAAAAAAAACAGAAGTAAGAACATATCCAAATAAAAAAGAACAATTAGTTATAGGCCAAATCAAACATAATTTTTAAAGATATATTTCAATACCCCCCCCCCCCCAAGTCATGGACACAATGAGAGCAAAATATGTATTGTTCACTATAATAAGTCAAAATATAACAAACAGAATTTCCTTTAATTTAGTCAGCTGCTGACAATCTTACACAGAGCCATGTATGTTAATTTACTTTTCATTTTTAATCCTAAAAGGGCCGGATATGTTGGTGCCCTCTCAGTCAAGTGAAATGTTAAAGAAATTGCTATCAGTTCTAATACATGACAGGAAATGTAAGAGTCAATTAGAATTTGAACAAAATGGTGTCCTTACCCTACTCTACGTCTACCAACGTGTTCGTCGTCCGTAGTTGCCAAGGGTAAACAATTTTCAGCCTTACTGAGTTTTTTTCGGGCCTTGTCATAGGAAGCTGATTTCGAATTTCAAAGAAATATAAAAAGAAATAAAGGGGAAAATAGGAAGGGGAAGAAGAAAAGAAAGAAAGATAAAAGGAAAAATGGAAGAAAATTATGTTTTAAATAATAATAATAATAATAATGATAATAATAATAATAACAATAATAACGTTTTATTTACCCAGGGTAGCCACTTCAGTTATGAAACTGCTCTTCCAGCGGACCCTGCATAACATAATATGTTTTCACCACTGTCATTATCTTTTGCAACGCTGTAAACAAGTAAAAATACATCAAATATCCCCAAAACATCTTATAAAATTTCAGTTTTGTTTTCACTGAAACTATGATATTTCATGGATGGAAACGAGAAAAGATTATTTATGTCGGCCTATGACATATCAAAGAATTCAAATTGTCATCATTTTGTGTAGGACAGAAGAAGAAAAAAACTTAGCATAACTTGCGAAATAACAGTTTAAGAACTTGTTTGAACTGTCACGTTTTATGTCAGTTACATAGTTCTTTGTGCTACGTTAAAAAAAAAACGAAAACAAACGCTTATTGTACAAGCAGCAATATCAGCTTTACTTCTGTCGATAAAGTAAAAGTAAATTAAAATGTATATGCTTTCAAATGATAATTTGTTTTATATCAATCCATTCATGCTCAATCGAGCAACATTATTTTGATAATGGCATCTCAAAAATCCATCTGTGCCAGATTTTGGTAAAACATTGATAATGTTAGTATTACATGCACATATGACGAAAATGTAAGATTTTCATTTGTGATGATGTGCATTCGAATAAGCAGTTAGAAAGAAAAAGGGTGAACATTCATTTCCAAAATGACGGTGCACCCTCAGATTTTTGATCAATCAAATTGAGCAATGAAACAGTACCCCTTTTGTGATTGAAAAGGGTGCCTGTATGAAATGTATGGCGCCCGATATTTTGATTCCTGTATGAAATACCACCTAGCTGTCCGTTTTTGCTCTTTTTAAAAGCATTTCTGAATAATGCGTTCGGTGGCGGAGACATGCAAATGCGAAAAACACTATCCATAACAATAATATCACAGACCCGTTTCAGTAACTACTCGATTTTCACCGTCACCTTCGATAATATCCCCACTATCACTTATTTGGTTTTGATGGCATTATTCTTAACCCCCCCCCCCCCTTCCCCGTTATTTAAATAAGCACATGAAACCAATCGTTTTATTCGGCATTAAAGTTTGTATTACCTTCAGGCCATATGCTCGTTCGTGTTCGCTTGTGAACTAGCGGTTACCAGAATCTGGCAAAAATGGATTTTGACAAGCCATTTTCAAAGCAATCCTGTTCAGGAAAGTGCGATGGATTTATATGATCAATGTATCATTTGAAAGCATGTTACTTGTACTGTATGAAAAGTAATGAATTAGATTTATACAGCTCTGATTTGTTTATAATAACAGTTTGAGGTGTTTCGTTTTTTCTGGGACGCACTGTTGAGTGAATTACCTGTACTTCCGCCTTCCTGAACCTCACAGGTAAACCAAGGCCAGGTGTCTTCTGGAGGGTCGTGCCGCATCACTGCGTTCTTCGCGCTTGCGGCGTCACAGGGGGGCCATCGGCAACTCTGTCTCCCGTCATTCGTCCCCAGCCACTTGGAGGAGACCACTTCCACCTCTTTGGTGTCCAGAAACTCGACAATAACATATTTATCCATGGTCTGAAATAACATTATTATCTAGTACAAATTAATAAAATGTACCAACCAGCTATGACCGATTTGATAAGTGCTCATTCGATTGGAGTCTCAAAGGCTAGTACAGAGATGAGACAAAACTAATGAGTAACATGATTCAAGGGAAAGGCAACATATCCATCTCTGAAAGGCAATAGAACAACTTTGCCAACACTTGCTGACACAGGAAAATGGTGCAACCTTTTGCCAAGTTCTCTAAAATAATATATTCCAATCTTGTTGGAGTCAACGGGGTAGTCAAAGAAAGACATGGCCTTTGAAAATTTGTAACAAACAATAAAAGGGTCGATTTCATTGTTGACAAGAACATTGGTCACCTGAAAAACATCCTCTCCGATCATTACAAAACTATCACGTTCATTTGTTGAGATAACATAGTTATTGCAATGGAGTTCCTTGAACTGCATCGTGCCTCGGGGTGCATCGTTTGGAAGAGGTCCTGATGAGTGCCTGTACTTCCATGTGCATGGGGAGACAACATGATCAGGCTTCCGTCTTGAACTGGTATCCATGTTCTTTTCAGACAACCTTCGTATGACCTGTTGTAGTGGCTGTTGTGGTTTGCGAATCATTCGCTTGATACTATTCAAATGGTTTTCATATGGAAATGCAGAGAATTTATCTAAACATCCAAAGTTTCTAACATCATCTGCTAAATGAACCAACGAATGTACATTGTAGATGAGACTTTCTTCACCATACAGTTTCCCACACTGTGTCACAAACAGAATAAGAAGATTTTCGGCATAGTCACAGTACTCTACACACTTCGAGGGATTGCACAACAGTCTTATGGCTACAACTAGAAGGATGAAATGTGAATAATAAGGTTCAGGCAAGTTTCTCCTTAGAGCGACTGCCCCAGTATACAACAGAAACGTACGGAATTCCGTCGCCTTCCAACGGTCTACTTCTGCAAGAGCCCTTCCCTTTCTTGCAAACTCCCGAGGTACAAATGATTTGCAATGAATAATCTCATCTGATATTGCATTAACAACTCTTGGTCCTAGTCTGACGTTCATTGGACCTCGCATCCACAAGTTTATCAACTTTCTTACAACTCCTAGACAAATCAGATGCATATAGTCTAATGGAAACTGAGAGACCATACCCACACCAATTTGAAGCAAGCAACTAGTGTCACGATGGTGTTCCTTGTTGTCCTGATTCTTAAATGTTTGATCAGTCCTAAGAACTGCATCAACACAAGGGAAAGTGACACGCCGCTCTGTGTACACTCCTTTTTGACTACACTTGTCACAACCCCAGTAGCCCGAGTGTCCTTTGGTACACTTAACAAATGCCCTCGCCGGGGTATCACAGATAACATTTTTAATTGTGACATGTATTCTGTTGCCCCTGAATTGTACCCCCTCCCTTGATATTTTGACCATTTCTTCAAGAAAGTCGTGTAGGTAATCGTTGGAAGTATTTGGTTTGCTATCCCCTAAAAGAGACCAATGACAAAGGGTTCTGATGTGCAGTTGGTATCCTGGTCCTGAATCCTACCCAGTATCGGCCAAAACTGGTCCCCTTTGCTCTTGAACAAAGGCATTCCGTCAATAAAAACCTGAAGAAACAAACGATAGTCTACAAGCATATCGAAAAGTTGGGGATTAAATTCTAGGGAAGAAACTATGTTGGGAGCAATTCCAAAATGATGGTAAGTTCCACCAGCAACTTCTTTCACTTCATAGGATGTCATGGTTGTCAAAAGAGTGCGAGAATCTTTCGGTAACTGGGGGAAATGGGGCTTTAAAATAGCTAGTAATGAGTTAATGTGACTTGCTGGCGTACAGCAATTTACTGCCCATTCTCTAAGATGTTCACGGATAGTTGGTTGACCAAGATCTACATCTTCATCCGACGTTACGTCACTATCATAGCCTGAATGTGACGGCGCCGCGGCTTCGCGATGTTGACTCAAGTCTGGTATTGAGAATGCACCATCAGATTCAGAGTCAGTCAAAGATAATTCATCACCACCACATGCCCCTAATTCTATGTCACTTGAAGTACCAGTAACACCATTAATCTCGTCATCGCTAACGTCAGATGGTAAGGTGGAATTCAAAACTTCTCGTGTTTGTCTGTCGGCTATTCGGCGCAAATGTCTAATGCCGTATAGCTTTGTAGCTCTATTAAAATTTGACATAGCTACACACCACGAGTAGCACTGTATGAGAAAAATATGCAGGGCCTCTAAACCTTGAGCAAAGTGATAATGAAAACTAGAGGATCTAAATAGACTCTGACAAAGACAAAGAACTTGGGGGACCAATAATATTAATGCTGCAAACAAATCCAACAAAGTTCTGTTTAGTTCAGCTATAGGCTACAAACCCAATATTCGTATCAACATCACCTTTAAAAGTTTGATTGATTCTGAAAAAAAATCTGTAATGAGAAGAACAAAAGAAAAGAATATGTAATGAACTATAGTCTTACTCTACACGGTACAAGTTACTCAACCCTTATTCTTTCCCCTCCCCCTTGTATTATTCTGCTTCCCGCCGTATATCGATGAAGGGGAGCTGGGGGGGGGGGGGGGGGGGGTCTAGCAAATACGGAACTGGTTTATGTGAAAATCAAGCCAACCTTGCATGAACTTTATAGGTCGCACACCACAAACAAATCTAAGCATATACTAGCCTAGAAACGATCCCAACATAGACTAAATAGTTGGTATAATCGGTGCTCGGGGGCTGTTGATCCACTAAATAAAATTAAAACGTGGTTTTGAATACTAAAATAATAATACTTAACTTCAATACCAGTGATTTACACAAATATTAATGTTTATGCCTTTAATGACATGATTTCCCGTTTTTTTCCCCCTCTCATTCTCGCCCATTATGCCAGAAGCGGCACTCCGGGTGGGGAGAGTGGGCACTGTGCCCCCCATTTTGCAGGTCCCCCAAAATATATATATATATATATATATATATATATATATATATATAGTGCTCACTACCCCCAACAAAAAAAAAAAGCAAATCCCCGCAAGCCCCCCCCCCCCCCAAAAAAACAAAACAACAACAACAACAACAACAACAACAACAATTAGGACGTAGGAAGAAAAAAGAGCAGACATAGAAACGTTTTTTTATAATTCAGACAAGGATTAAGAGTCGTGAACGGTACAACGAATCGTCTTCTCTCTAATAATTTACTGAAACGTCAAGCTTCCGCGCTTCCCATGGGAGGGGGAGGGGGACTGAATTTAGACAAGATTTAAGAATCGAGAACGGTACAATTAACGAATCGTCTCTTTTTTTTTTAAATTAATGAAAAGTCAAAGCTTCCGCGCTTCGCACGGAAGAGTGGGGGGGGGGTGGCTGGATTCAGATGTGGATTAAGAGTGGAGAACGGTAAAAAGAATCGTCTTCTTTCTCTAATAATAATATGAACGTCAAAGCTTCCTCGCTTCGCGCTGGAGGAGGAAAACTGAATTCAGACAAGGATTAAGAGTCGAGAACGATCTAACGAGCCGTCTTCTTTCTCTAATAATTTAATGAAATGTCAAAGCTTCCGCGCTTCGCGTGCTCACTACCGCCCCCTAAAATGAAATCCTAGCTACGCGCTTGTTCCTCTCCCCCCCCCCCCCCGCCCACTGATATCGATCGGCGCGATTTTCAAATTTCAGGCCCCCCTCCCCCTACTGGCAAAACCTGGATCGCCACTCTCTTAAACACCCCTTTTAACAAATCCTGGATACTCCCTTGCTATAATAGTAGTGGTAGTATATAATTAGTTGTAGTAATAAAAATAAATAAAACAAATGCAACAAATTTTCAATAATTCATTGAATTCCCACCCGGTCCCCAACATAAAAAAAATCTTCTGTGTGCCCATGCTTTATGCCATAATGCATGGTCGTACAGAGGATTTTTGTTTTATGTTGGGGACGGGGGTAAAATTCAATGAATTATTGAAAATTTATTGCATTTTATTTGTAGGAACTGCCCCCTACCCTAGCCCCCGCTGCGTACAGTCATGGTTCAGTGGCAAAGCAATGGCCTCCTAACTGTGAGGCCCCAGGATAAAAAACGTGTCGATGTGCTATATTTTGTGGGGCATTAATCCTCATTACTGTCATTTATGACTTAAGGATTGTAGCATATACACATGCTTTAGCAGTCACCAAAACAAACACTGGCAAATTATTGTTCAATAAAATCAGAGAATGTATACTATTATCTAGATCCATTAGGAATAAATCATTGTCAAAATAATTCCATGAATTGGGGTAATTTTTTTTTTATCAAACTATATGAGCGACAGTGTACATGTACATCCCACCGACTTCAAACTTCTGCATTGATATAGTACACGAGGATCGAGCAAGAATATCGACACAGCTGACCCGACGCAGCAATATATTAATGCGTGTCTTTCTTGCTCCCCCGACGAGACGACTCCACCCAACAATCAACTCTCTCTTTTACTCCCACCTACAGATCTCCTCTCTCATGCTCTTACTTCCCCTTCTCTCTCCACGCTTTTATCCCCCGTTTCTTTTGTTTCCCTTTTCTTTCTTTTTTTCCCCTTTCTCTTTTCTTTCTTTGCCTTTCTTTCCTCTCGGCTCACTCTTTTTCTTTCTTCTCTTCTCTTTTCTTTCTTTCCTTTTTTCCCCTTTTTCCTTTCTTTCCCTTTCCCTCTCTTTCCCCCCTCCCCCTTTTCTCTTTTCTCCCGACGGCAGCGCAATTTAACCGACAATATCGTGACAGGTGGGGTGTCGCATTCCCACCACCCCCTTTAGAGAAGCCCCTGGTTACAGGAGGTAAAAGGGTAGGAATTCCTAGCTCATAAGCATTTTAAATGAATGGAAATGTGTTGCGCCGATGTGACTTTGGGGGGATGGTCTCAGAAATTGACCAAGATTTCTCTCCGAACAGAAGTTCAATAAAAGATTGTTCTAAGGCAGGACATATATTATATCAATTAAAAGTAAAACCATGTGGCTTTCATTAATGCAATATTCCGAGAAAATGAAATGTCGAGGTGTGCATCAGTGATGGTGAAGATGGTTCAACTATAATAAGGCAAATTAACAATATAGCATTACACTTCGTTGAAGTTGGGCGGTAATTTATATAAATGATTTGCTTGTAAAAAACATGATCAAAAATAGTATAACAGTGCTTATTACTTGACAAGTAATTTAACATACTTGAACCTGGAATAACATATATTTTTATCAAAAAGTACTATACAAAGAAAAATGAATAATGCTTCTCATCATCTGCTTCCTGCATGTGTTTTTTCACACAAACTTCTTTTACAGAATTCCGCTTCCAATATATATCTTTAATACAATGTACTACATAGAAAATTTATAGATACGACACTTGTAAATATCGAACATATATATGGAACTTAGTAAATAACAGAAGTTAAAGTATTTTTAACTCACCAATTTTGTTCTTCTCCTAGCTATCTTGCAAAGTCAGACTATACCAATGATCGATGCTGATGTTCTGTTGGCTGAAAACGCAGTGACCACCCTGCTCTGGCCAGTGGTTATAATTATAGTGTTAATGGGAGTATAATGCCCCTTTCGGTCACATAATGTCCTTGCGGGTCAAAAAGGTCAGACATTGAGGAATGTGAATTTTTAGACTGAACATACATCTATCTACTGTATATTAATGTATGCACTACAACACACATAGTATGAATACTGTTTTAGGGAACCTGAGTTTAAAGGAAAATATTACATAGGGTTAATTTGTAAATTGATGTTTTTAAGTTCATTTCTGACACTGCAGTAGAAATATATGTAGTACTATAGTTAAAAGAATATGGATATGGTAAAGATGACGATATTCGTATAGCCTCTGTAATAAAACTATTTAAGATCAATGACACTAAGCGTCGGTTTTTGATAATCTCAACATAAAATCAAATTGTAATTTTTCTTTATCATAATTTGTTGTAAGAGGTGCACGATTATCGCAAAATACTTTAATGTGGGTAAGTCCCATCTGCGTCATTGATGTAGACTAAGAGTATTTTCATTTTGTTTCCACTTTATTTCATTTTCAGGAACATAATAAGTATAACAATAACAAAGAATACAAGAAAACGAAGTACAATAATATAGTAGTATAGTAGTATAGTAAAATGGTTTATCAGAACAACTGCAAAATGGTAGCTCGAGAGCTAAATTACATTGCGAGTTTTACAAGCTCAGATTTAAAAAAACATTTTAACAAAACTTAGATATAGACAAGTGCAAATAATGCATAACCTAAAATAGATTACAGCTTGATTATTAAATATACCATAGTTGCAAAAGTATAAATTCATCATTATTATTATTTTGTTTAAATTATTGTTAAGTGAGGAATACTTATTTCAAATAGAAATTGGGGCATATTAATTGAATTCATGACAAATAAATACTGAAGATTTGTTTGATTTCAAACCATTAAAAAATGCAATTGCAAATTATATGCCTTAATTGTAACTCTGATACCCGATTATGTAATTCAAAACAGTCACACTGTCTTAATTACGAGGATTTATCAAGGAAACATAATTAAACAATCCTGACAGAGAGAGAAAGAGAGAGAGAGAGAGTCGGTAGCATAAGAAGAATGGAACAGATGGAACTGAGAAGACATGGAGAAGAAGAATGATGATGAAAGTAAGACGACAAAGGAAAAGCGATTAGAAATTTCAGAGTAAATTCAAAGTTTCCTTTACAGAGAAAAGCAGTTATATTTACCAAATATATATGACTAAGATAAATTCACTAGAAATTCACTAATTAGTCAGTTAAAACACAGATTTATCAATTCATTAAGATGTTGATTACTTGCACTAATCTTTAAACATTGATACGTACAGTGCAGTACCACTAAAGCAAGAGAAGGCATACAATAATAAGAGTTATGAAATCAGGCAAGAATCAAGGGAATTTATGCATTGTTCAGTAACCTGGTGAGATATGGGCTTTTCCTGTAACGTTCTGTCGTGGACTTTGGTTACATACAAATAGCTAGCTAGCTACGTGTTTTCCGTGTTTTTTTTGTGCAGACGTTTAGTTCAAACCAGTTTGATCGGTCAAATTGTAGTGCCTTCTGTGCAAACTTGAGACATAACTCTTCTCGGCGAGCATGCATCGGGAGTTTGAGACTTGGTCACTGATATGCATTTGGATAAGATGTGTAATATCATAGGATGATTCTTAGTGGCCATTTTGTACGTTTTCGATCTTGTTGGTCTGGGCAGGGCAATGCATGGGCACCGTTCCAAGCAGGGCAGGTATACTTGAGGAGTGGTATATAACAAAGCCTAAATTAAAAAATAAATACATAATAAATACAATAACAGAAAAAATCATCAACTATGATACCTGATGGGGATTACCTAAAGAAACTGAGTTTCTTAGAAGGCTATATTCTCATAAGGTGATGGTTTATAACAGGAAATGCAAAAGACAAATCATGATCGAGATTATAAATATAAAACAATTATGTGTTGTATAGGCCGTAAGAGTGAACCGATTTAAAAGACGAACGAAAAAGAAGGGGAAAAACATGATGTTTGGCAAAGAAAAGCGGGAAATAAAATAACATTATTTCAAAATAAACTTGATTTGCATTGTAATTGTTTCGATCGTTGACACCCTTTCAAATAAATTCAAACAATTAAATCGTATTAAAGACAAAGGAGAGAGGTGCAATATGGTAGTTCAAGAAAGGAATAGAACGGAAAAGAACAGAAACGAATTGATATATGGCATCACAATGCATATTAAGGTATTTATATAATTAAGCCCCCGATATTATGTTCACTATGTACAAAAGGTGCAACAAAAAAGCAAATGACCGACACGCAATGAACTCAAAGCTGACATAAAGTAAGAAAGATGTCAAAAGACATGTTTCTATCCCTTAATAAGATATTTTTACTGCACCCCCTTTGTAACATTTGACAGAAAAATAAAACACTACATCTTACAAAACTGATTATAGCTGTGTGGTTTATCATTGTGAAAACGAGATAAACATTGCTAATTCCATAAAAGTGCATGTCATATATAATTTGCTTGCATAAAAAATTAACTTGGACGTATAACAATTTTCGAATTCCTACGTGTTGGCATTTTCAACATTCTGATACTTTGACCCAAATTAAGATAGTTAATTTCGATTGACGTAAAACACTGTTTCTAAGGCAAAACACTGAGTTAAGTACACAATACCTTTATTCTTTATTTGTTAAAAAGAATACAACAAACATTATTATTATGTCTTGTTTAGATATAACATGTTATCCACAAAATCCACAAGTCTCCAACGTTATAGAATGTCAAAGGTAAAATAGACTTGTTCTGCCTGTCATGCATTTGCATGGTTGGTACGAATTGGATCCATTTTTTTAAATATAAAAATGTCAGACTTGCTCTTTGGTTGGAGTGTTCTATCATTATACTATTAATTCGATGTAACGAAAAAGCTGATCAAATAGAAAGGTCCCGTCCCATATTCTTTTTATTTTGAGGACTGAATAATACCAGGCGCGGATCCAGGGGGGCCGAGCGGACCTTGCCCCCCCCCCCTCAAAAAAAAATAAGAGAGGAGGAAGGAAAGGGAAAGAAAAAAAGACGAGATAAAGGGAAGGAAAAAAAGGAGGAAGAAGAAAAGAAAAGAAGAAGGATATCAGTTGCAATTTTCCCGCCAACAAGTTATGGATCGGGGGGGGGGGGGCAAAAGGCCCTTGCCCCCCCAGCAAATCTAAAAGAGAGAGAAGAGAAAGGGAAAGAGGAGAGAAAGGGAAATTTATTTAAAAAAGAAAGAAGAGAGGTAGGCGAGATCAGTTGCGAATTGCCCCCCCCCCCCCCCACCCGACGAAATTCAATCTGGTTTCTTTCTGTTTTCAAAATATAACGGTGATTTACAAATGTTGCTGAAATGACTTTTTATTAAATTGTAATAACTTTTGTAGGCGTTCGTTGGAAATGACAGTCAGGCAAGAAATAGGCTATGCTTATTTAGAGGCCTACATGTCAGTGCCCGCAGAATGGCGGGGTTCGGGGCCCTCGAGCTCCCCCTCCAATAATGAGGTATCAAAATATGCTCATCTGACCGTGAATAAATGCCTAATACCCCTGAGCTTCTAGGGGGGGGGGGGCGGAACTCACGCCAATAAGTCAGGGGCGGATCTACGGGGAGAGGGGGGGGGGGGGGTTAGGGAGTTTAACCCCCCCCCCCCTTGGGCTGCCAATTGTAAATGTGATATGCATAGAAAAACGCCATCATGTGTCCAGACCCACGCAGTATTAGTAGATGCCAGGAAAACATCACTTATGGGGGGTTCGAAATAGCCAAAACAAAATCACCTCGCCGATACGCGGCTCGTAGACGATGCTCCGCATGTTAGTAGATGCCAGGAAAACATCACTTACGGGTGTTCAAAATAGCAACAACAAAAAATTTCCTAGCGGCTTCGCGGCTCGTGGACGATGATGCGCATCGTCATTGGGTCAAACCCCCCCCCCCCCCCCTGGCAAAAAGCTAGATCCGCCCCTGTTAAGGTCCTGCCACTGATCGTGAGGGGCTCGGCCCCTGGACCCCACGCCAATTAGTGACCCGCAAGTGTCATGAATAATGTATCAAATATCCGTAATTAAATGCCCTTACCCCCTGAGCTTCCAGGGGCTCCGTCCCTTGACCCCCGCCAATTTACGCAACACTCTACCTGATCGTAAATACTTACCCCCACCCACTTTGAGAAACTATAAGCGGGGCCTGCATGTAAGAGTGGGGGTGATGCGTACTTTTTGTCTACCCCCCCCCCCCCAAAAAAAAAAAAAAAAAAAAATGCTGGTCACCATTACGTTCCAATATTTGGCTCGCATAATTTCAAATCCCCCCCCCCCCCCTAAGTAATCCTGGATCCGTGCCTGCCGAATACCACAAAATATAAAGTGTACATAATTAGTAATCATCTAATGAAAATAAAGTTCAATTAAAGGGATCCGGTAACTTTGTCTCAGATTCTGAAATTCTGGATTTAGCTCATGATGCAATGATAATTATAAACCTTTAGGTCAGTCAGGAGCCCCATGACTTTTACAAGCCGATCGCCTGTCTGATTATCAAGATATTTATGATTGGAATTACAAATTTTGAAAACCGTTCACCTGACGGTTTTCATAACACTACAGTCTATTAGGGAAAACGAGTATGGTAAAACCGGTCACTCAAAGATTTTTACTTTTTTGAGGCACTTAATTCTTGATCATTTTGAAGCGCAATTTTTTTAGGGCTTCAATATTACACCATATCAGTGTCTGTGATATTATCACAGACACTGATAACACTTAGGGCCGTGTATCTCAGATTTAACATTGTTAAACGATCCCTTTAATGAAAGGTAAAGGTAGGATGTTCAGTCTGTCATGAAAAAGATCATTAAAGACCATGTTTACGATGTGAATTTTAATACAAAGATCATGCATCACCTTATTTCACTAAAATAAAGAGGGCGTCACAAGAAACAACATAAATACATTGTTTAAAATAAATAATAATGAATATAAAAATATTAAAATCTTAAGATTCAGGGCAAACAATTTCAGCTCAATGCATGTTGGGTTATAAATTTATAATCAGTTTCTTAAAGATTCCTACCAACACTACGAGTTTTCAAAAGCGATCTTCTTCAAACTCATTTTCATGGCAATGGATCAACTATGATACGTGATTTCTTGCAGCATTCGCAAAACGTTTTATTGATGATTCTTCTCCAGTTATAAACAAAAAAGGACATGGTATCCTGGAAAGAAAATTAAACTCTTAAACGAAAAGCTTTGAATTAAAAATTAAAAAGGAATGTAATCAGAAGGGTCAGCACAAGTCCTGGGTTATATTCTCGCCTACACTCTGGACGGGAGCGCACAGGGTAACTCGTCGTTCCAGCACTGTGAGCTTGTATGTGCTAG